ATAATAATATATATATTACAGTACGGGGCCTGCACTCTGAAGGAGGGTGTTAATGTTGCATTTTAAAAACGTAGTGTAAAGCCCCCTTTGGGCAAGCATGATGGAGTGAAATGGGGTGAAAGTTTTCTTTTTGGGCCCACCCGCCTTGGTGGGAATCGGCCCCATTGGTAAAATTTATATATATTTTATATATAAATATTATATAATATTTTTTTTTATATATATATATTATATATAATAATTAATATATATATAAAAAAAAAAAAAATATAAAAAAAATATAATATATAATATAAAATTTTTAATTATATATATTATTAATAAAAATTTTTAAATTTTATAAATTAAATAATATATTTTTATATATTATATTAAAATTTTTATATATAATAAATATATATATAATAATAATATATATATAAATATAAAAATATATATATTATATATATATATATATATATATATATATGTAATAAATTGGTAGAATTACCGAAATATGAAAGTAAAAGGCAAAGTGCAACTAAGTGACATTTATTGTGGCAACGTTTCGCTCCCCAGGAGCTTTATCAAGCCTTACAAACAATAAGGGACACGAGGGAAAATTAAAGGCTCTGAGTGAGGTGAAATACAGTGAGGAACATTTGATTTCACTAGTGGTGGTGTTAGTAGTGTGTAGTAACAAAAAAATACAAAAAGGGAAGACAATTAATTCGACAGATAAAAGGTATAAAAGCTTTTACTTGGTAACTAAAAAAGGTTGACAAATAAAACGGGAAAGAGGCGGTTTTTTTCAGTGTTCACTCTCTGTAATGTGTTTTGGTAGAATAAAGAGAGACTATGTGATGGCAGGGTTTACTGTTTTCAGGGGGAATTTTTCTAAACTTCGGGGATGGGGAAGCTGCCGTGTTTTTTTTTAATTGTATTTTGAAACAGGATCATGCAGATTCAAGCATTTGCTCTGCGGAAATTTGTTTCTTTGATCACTAAAATTGGGGGTTCGAATTATGAGATGATTGGTGGAATTTTTGGTGTTGTAAACAGGGGTTGTTTAAATTGTCGTTCCACATGCTAAAAGTGTTCATTGAGGCGGGTGTCGAGGTTTCTTGCTGTTTCATACTAGATCTTGTCACAGCCTCCACAGGGTATAGTGTAAACTCCTGCATTGATGGTTTTGTGGGCGGGGGTTTTTCCTGGGTTTGATCCTTTATTGAAGTGGTAGAAGCGATGGGGACTCGGGGGTTAGCTTTGAAAATACTTTTGAGACGTTTTGTGCAACCGGGTGTTGGAAATTAAACTTTTTTTTGGGGGCGGTGTTTGCTGGAGAATGATGACTGAAGAGCTCTTTTTTTGCAGTCTTTGATGAAAAAAGAAGGAAATTGAACTCATGAATGTTTTGGGGGAATGTAAGGCTTCCCCTCAAGAAACTAGGGCTACAAATTCGGTATGCCTTGGAAAAACCGTGATGATGCCTCTTTTGGGCTTGGTATCTTTACGGGAAAAAGAAGTTGTAAAACATTTTTTTTGGTGGGTTTTCCATAAACTTTAAATCTTAGGGTTTTTGTCTACTTTGTGAAAAGGACGTGGGAAAAGGGATTGTCATTGTCCAACCTATTTTTATGTTACCCAAGTATAGCTTTTAATCCTTTTACTCATGTACGAATTAATTGCTTTCCTTATTGTATTATTTTTTTTTTTCCCACTACTCACTACTAACCACCACTAGGAAAATCGAAATGTTACCTCACAGTATTGGGACCTCATCAGAGCCTTTTATACCCTCTGTGTCCATGTTTGTTTGTAATGGCTTGATAAAGCTCCCCGGAGAGTGAAACATTTCCCCAAATAAATTTTCATAGTTGCATTGTTCCTTTTACTTTTATATAAAAAAATAATAAATTTTATATATATATATAATATATATATTATATATATATATATAAAATAAATATAAAATATATATATATAATATATGTATATATATATATAAAATATATATATATATCAGGGGCCCCCGGGATTTGATATTAATCCTTCCCGAACTCATCGAATACCCCAAAAATATCGAAAACCGAATCAATTTTCCTCTAAGAAATAATGGAAAACAAATTAAACCGTGCAAGACACCCAAAATATGAAAAAAAAAATTTTTCTACATGGGAAAATTAAGTTTAATGCAAAAGAATAATAACAATAAAATAATTGACACTTTTTTAATGAAGATCTGGTGATGATTTATGGGGTGGGAGGAGGGGGGGAGGAGTGTTATGTTTAGAAGGGGAATCCCCCTTTCCCTTAAAATTGAGGTGTCGAGTCCCCTTTCTGGGTACTTCCTTCTTCTTTTAAAAACCATAGGACCAGCTTTAGGTCCCTGGATTTCTTCGCACAAACATATCTGTCCATAGTGGCCTGTACCTCCCCCTTCCTTTATGAATCCCTAAGTGTTTCAAAAACATTGTTAGGTAATAGCCCACACGGGTTTTGCAATAGCTGTGATGGTAATTGTCATCAAAAAAGGTTTTTCATTTTTAAACCACATTTCACACATTTCCTTAACTTTTAAAGTAGGCAACTTCTTCAATTTCTTCTTCCCCTCCTCCGAGCGTTTCCTCAGGTCTGCCCTCTTGCTTCAAATACTAGCAGCCTCAGTGTTTTTCTCCTGTCCCCTCCACCAAACCTTCCACATCCTCCCCACAACCTCCAACCCCCAAGGGCTTCCCCAAAGTCCAGTGGGTTCAACTGGGATAGGATTCTCAGGGTTAGCCTCAAACCTTCAAAACCCTTTTGCTACAAATTTGGCCACAGTTTTTTTCCCAAAAGAGTCAAGGTTCTTAGCATCCCCCAAGCCGTACCTATCAGGTTTTTAAATTGAGGTATTAAAGTGATCCTTCCAAAACTCTTTGGAGCAGTTGAGTTTTTGTGGGCCCCTATAAAAGCACTTTGAAACACAGCTTTTTGTGTACAGTTTCTTGAAGTTTGGGAAAAGACCTGTGGTCCATTTGGCTGCAAGAGGATGGTTTTTGGAGGCAAAAAAATTGACCTTTAAAGAAGCTCAGTCCCCGAAAGTCGCTCTGACAAGTTGAAGGATGCCCGGACATTGTCTAATACCAGGAGCACTTGATCTAATTTCTTTTCAGTTAGGTAATTTTTTTACAGTGGGGGGCAAATCTTGGGGTAACCAGTATAAAAAAGTCCCTAGTGACCCATGCTTTACTGTTTTTCCCCACAGCACACACAAATTAGCCTTTAGGGCATTGTTTTTTCCCGAGCACTTGGGAGTTTCAGAGTGTACGCCCAAAAAAGGTTCACTTTGCAAACACCCCTAGCATTGGGACCATAACAGAGTAACCTTCTTTCTAGGCTTAGTCCCGGGAGTGCCTTTTCCCCCCCATAAGTAGGGCCTGCTTGGATTTTCTTCCAAACAGGCCCGTTTCGTTGCAATTAAAACTTTTTCAGGTTTCAGTCCTTCACTGTTTTGTACTCTTGAATTCCCTTTAATATTTTCAGTGCTTTTGGTCCCAACTGGCAGCCCCACCTGCCCAATCACACTAGTATGCCACTACGTTCTTTAAAACTTTCAAACCACCCCTTTTCTGGCCCTTTAAAATTTACTCACACCCACTAGTTGGGAGGGAATTTTTTACCAAACGTCAGCAACTTCCTAGCCTTTTCACAAAAGTCGCTTGAGAATGATCTCCCGATCTGTTTTTTATTTATCCACACCATAACAATCTCTCCATTTTTTAACCTTGGTTCCGTTTCGTAATCAAGCTGCACCTTTTTCAAGAACGCTTCCTTGTTTGCCCTTTTCCTGGTCACACGACACACGCACTCCACTTTCGTACTTTGCAATTATCTCTTTCTTCATTTCATAAGTCATTAGCGACTTTTTTCTTGAAGGGTTGGCACTAGAAGCTTTCTTGGGGCCCATGGTGACTTATTTTGCAAAAACAAGCACCAAACACAGTGATAATATGGATAATATGGAATGTACCGAGTGTATCCTTAGATGCATGCACACTGGCTGGCTTGTAAACACTGGCACACACGGGGCAGTTCAGGCCACACGTGGACACGTCTCATACGAATCGTATCGAATACCGGGTTTTCAATCGAATACCGAGGAAATTTTTTTGCGATATAATGTATCGAATACCGGATTTATCGAATACCGATGCCATCGAATACCGGGGGTCCACTGTATATATATAAAAGCATCTGTGAAAATGGGTACGAGTTCACCAAGGCCTCTGCAGATACCCTGGTATACTTGGAGAATACCTAGAGGGTATACTCCAAGATAGCTATATCATAAGCTATATCATAATATATCATAATCTACACCTGAAAAATTCTAGAAGGAATGGTCCCGAATTTGCACACACAAATCATTCCCTACGAAAGTAAAAGACTGGGCAGGCGGTGCAAAGTACCCCAATGAAAAGAAGATACCCTTGTGTTGTAGTGTCTGAAATAAAGTCGAAATAAAGTCGAAATAAAGATACCTAACTGTTGCATATGTGTCTTACCTAACACCCCAATGAAAAGTAGGGGCGCCATTGGTACACTAAGAGAAAACATAGTTAGTGTCCGAGGCCCAAGACTGTTCAACAGCCTCCCACCATGTATAAGGGGAATTACCAATAGGCCCTTGGCTACCTTCAAGAGGGAGCTGGACAGATACTTAAAGTTGGTGCCGCATCAGCCGGGCTGTTGTTCCTACGTTGGAGTACGTGAGGCCAGCAGTAACAGCAAGGTTGATCAGGCCCTGATCCAAAGGGAAGCCTGGTTGTGGACCGGGCAGCGGGGGCGCTGATCCCAAGAATACCCTCCAGGCAGACTAAAGGTAGGGTTTTTCTGGGATCAACACCCCCGCAGCCTAGTACAGGACCTGGCCTTCTGATTATAAAAACTGCCGCTAACCCGTAAAGCAAGAGCTGAGGACACTTTGTTAAAGTATGAACCACAGGGAGAGAAGTTTGCTTAATCACTGGTAGGTAATCGCCTCAAGAGAAACCTATATCCTGCCGAAATCTGCACAATTTGGTGACTATGTGGCTCACTCAAGCCCTGTACAATTTACTGTGCAACCCACAAGGCCTGCCATCTAAAACAAAATATATAATATAGTATATCTTCATTTCTGCAAGTACATGTACAAGGTATACAGGTCTAGGTGACATCAATGACATACTACTGCATAGAAAGCCACTTGTTATGCAGAGCATTTCGGGCAAATTAGGTCAGTTTTGTCCCAGGATGCGACCCACACCAGTCGACTAACACCCAGGTACCCATTTTACTGATGGGGAACATAGACAACTGGTGTAAAGAAACACGCCCAATGTTTCTACCCTGGCTGGTAATCGAACCCGGATTCTCGCTGTGTGAAACGAGAGCCATAGCCACCAGGCCATTCTATGTTGTCTCAATTATCAGTGCGAGGCAGAATAATAATAATAATAATAATAAAACATACAACAACATTTGCCTCAGCATCAAACCGTCCATCACATGGCTCATAATATCAGTTAAGGGCACCAACAAGACTCCACATTCTTGTGATGCAAGTGGAACGAGAGTAAAATGTGAACTCTTACTTGGGTGTTACTGCTGCTTCCATTGGCAGATTGAGTCTTACCTGTGGGAAGAAAGATCATAAATTATATATAATTATTATTACACAGCCCATCATGAATGTCGGTAATACTGACATTCATCGTCATGAACTCAAAGACAAGAAAATCTGCCTTTTCTATCTTTCAGCCCACCAGACCCCACTCCACCCACCATGCTTTTCTGCTCCTACCATAAACAGACGCACACCCCACCCACCACTCTCCCCACCCACCAACCATCATACTCTCCAACCAGCACACGCCAGCCCATTTTGCCCCCGTCTACTAAACACCAAATAAGCGACGCAGCAAACGCGAGACTGCAAATTTGAGTGAAGCTTTCAGGAACCTCAACAAGAAGGCATTCACGACCCTATGTACAGCATATAGCATGTGTCAGGCCCATCTCATCTTGGAGTATGGAGCGCCAGTATGGAACCCGCATCTGAAAAAGCAGGAAAAATTGCAAAACTTTGCAGCGAGACTAGCCCCAGAGATGAGTGGTATGAACTATGAGGAGAGGTTAGAGGAGCTAAGCCTGATGACATTAGAGAACAGAAGGACCAGGGGTTAGATGATTACAATGTACCAAATGCTGAGATTAAATGACAGGGTGGACATGAGTCTTTTTGAGAGGCAAGTCTCTGGTACAAGTGGGCATAGATAGAAAAAAAAGAACAGTTGAGCCACAGGCATGTTAAGAAATACTTTAGCCATAGAGTGGTCAAAAAGTGGAACAAACTAGAGGGTGAAGTGGTAGAGGCAGGATCCATACATAGCTAGAAAAGAGTAAACCGAGTAGCGGCCAGCGAAAGGTGGGGCCAAGAGCTGAGACTCGACCTTGCAACCTCTATTGTGTAGATACCTCCCCGCTTATCACCCACTACACATCCACCTGTCACACCTTCATCCATCACACACTCACCCATCATACTCATACCCATCACACCCTCACCCACTACAGCTCTGCCCATTACTCACAGCCCTTTCCATGACACCTCAACCCACTACACCTCAATCCACTACATGCCCACCTATCACACATCCAACCCCTATCCACTACCCCACCCCCTCGCACTCAGTACACAAATGAGTATCACCCACCAAGTAATTCCCAGCCTATCACCCCCCTCATTCACAATGTCTATCACACGTCCCAGACCATAATCTAGGAACTGATTACAATCCTAACAAACGCAGTCAAATTGAACATCTCAGTTTCAAACATGATAACCTAAACAAGATTATCTACCAGATAGCATGTTTCTAACTTTTAACACTATAATTATCACATTCATAGGAGGAGAGCTAATCCCTCAGGGGTTATACAGCGCCTAGGGAAATGGAAGGCACTCAGACTCTATTCAAGGAATTGTAACACAGGTCCACTTCCTCAGATCAAGAGCCCCTCACCATGCTAGGTAAAAGGACAAGTGCAACTAATGTGACATTTTATTGTGGCAATGTTTTGCTCTCCAGGAGCTTTGTGAAGCTCCTGGGGAGCGGTAATTCTACCAACGTTAATACATTCCCTCACCAGCATCAAGGGCAATGGGTGGCTTATAACAACTTTGCCAGTAATAATCATCCGCTCATAGGAACATAGAAAAGTGCTTCTAAGCAAGGGTTTCATAATAAGATTATAACTGGGAGAATAAACACTAGCTACTAAATTGTGAGAACTTTCTGAATCTAAATGATGTCGAGGGTAAATAAATATTATATATTTCTTTCTTTCTTTCAACAAACCGGCCGTATCCCACCGAGGTGGGGTGGCCCAAAAGGAAAAATGAAAGTTTCTCCTTTTACATTTAGTAATATATACAGGAGAAGGGGTTACTAGCCCCTTGCTCCCGGCATTTTAGTCGCCTCTTACAACACGCATAGCTTACGGAGGAAGAATTCTGTTCCACTTCCCCATGGAGATAAGAGAAAATAAACAAGAACTAGAAAGAAAATAGAAGAAAACCCAGATGGGTGTGTACATATATGTTTGTACATGTATGTGTAGTGTGACCTAAGTGTCAGTAGAAGTATCAAGACGTACCTGAAATCTTGCATGTTTATGAGACAGAAAAAAAGACACCAGCAATCCTACCATCATGTAAAACAATTACAGGCTTCCGTTTTACACTCACTTGGCAGAACGGTAGTACCTCCCTGGGTGGTTGCTGTCTACCAACCTACTACCTAGATATTATATATGTACGTTGAAATTAAGATTATCTGGAATAGTAGCTTCACGCACACAACTCAGGTGCGTATATTTATCTCATGGTTATACAACTAACTAGCCTTAGACACATTATGTTTTAACAGGTACGTGAAGTATTAGCAGAGATTAATTGTACCATCTGGTATGTTACTAAATAAATGAGAGTACTTTACAGTAATGCAATAAGTAATGTGTGTGAATAGTGTGTGGGGGCAGACAAAAAAAAAAAGTGTGACTTAACAAACCGGTGTCCCTAAACAAATTACTGACATCAGAGAGGCAATAAGTGCAGCTTGACTGAACAGTAATGCTACCAGTCCGTTAAACAGCAATATGCACAAAGCAGCACAACAGCAGGCAATTAACAGAAAGACAAAAACAGATTTACCTGGGAACAATCAGTATGTCCTCCACAAAAGTCGCAAAACTCCCAAATTATTGAATCCGAGTTCAGCAACTTCCAAATCCCAGTCACGACAGTGTACAGATGCCAGTCTGAAAAAGTTACATGATAAGTAAGACCCTGGAGCAGTAACATATTGCGTCTGTCATGACACAACCACAATGTTAAATATCACTAACTCTAAATAAGTTTCTGGGAACAGCTACACACACAAAAAAAAAAAAATGTCGCAAAACACCAACGAGTTCATACTCTTCCATAAATCGAGTCTGCATCACAAGAAAAGCAGAGGAAATGAGAATTAGTAGAGAGAGTGAGACGTATTTCTTTTCCGAAGGTTGGGCAGAGAGAAAGCTCGGTCACTACAAGTGCAGATCCGAAGATTAACTCAGAGCTTGATATTTCCCAGAATGCACAACAAGTAGCAAACGAGCGAACAAGTGTGAAGCTGAGTGAAACAGCCAGTGAGAGCCGTGAATCTGTTAGCACAAGACGTGTCCAGCGTAAAGCATCTAGTAACTAATTATGCAGAAATAATACTCTGAAGCATAATATTTTCGTTATACTTACTAAATAAAAATATTACATTTAATAAAACATGTACATATCTGAAGACACAACAATCTCTTTCACCTCTAATACACCAAGTAGCAACAACCCGTCTACCCAGCAACCAGAGTGTGGGCACTCTGGAACCAGAGTGTGGGCACTCTGCAACCAGAGTGTGGGCACTCTGGAACCAGAGTGTGGGCACTCTGCAACCAGAGTGTGGGCACTCTGGAACCAGAGTGTGGGCACTCTGCAACCAGAGTGTGGGCACTCTGGAACCAGATGTGGGCACTCTGCAACCAGAGTGTGGGCACTCTGCAACCAGAGTGTGGGCACTCTGCAACCAGAGTTTGGGCACTCTGCAACCAGAGGTTGGGCACTCTGCAACCAGTGTGGGCACTCTGCAACCAGAGTGTGGGCACTCTGCAACCAGTGTGGGCACTCTGCAACCAGAGTGTGGGCACTCTGCAACCAGAGTGTGGGCACTCTGCAACCAGAGTGTAGGCACTCTGCAACCAGAGTGTGGGCACTCTGCAACCAGAGTGTAGGCACTCTGCAACCAGAGTGTGGGCACTCTGCAACCAGAGTGTGGGCACTCTGCAACCAGAGTGTGGGCACTCTGCAACCAGAGTGTGGGCACTCTGCAACCAGAGTGTGGGCACTCTGCAACCAGTGTGGGCACTCTGCAACCAGAGTGTGGGCACTCTGCAACCAGAGTGTGGGCACTCTGCAACCAGAGTGTGGGCACTCTGCAACCAGAGTGTGGGCACTCTGCAACCAGAGTGTGGGCACTCTGCAACCAGAGTGTGGGCACTCTGCAACCAGAGTGTGGGCACTCTGCAACCAGAGTGTGGGCACTCTGCAACCAGAGTGTGGGCTCTCTGCAACCAGAGTGTGGGCACTCTGCAACCAGAGTGTGGGCATGATTCAACCAGGATGTGGGCACTCTGCAACCAGGATGTGGGCACTCTACAACCCAAGTGTGGGCACTCTGCAACCAGAGTGTGGGCACTCTGCAACCAGAGTGTGAGCACTCTGCAACCAGAGTGTGGGTGCTCTGCAACCAGAGTGTGGGCACTCTGCAACCAGAGTGTGGGCACTCTGCAACCAGAGTGTGGGCACTCTGCAACCAGAGTGTGGGCACGCTGCAACCAGAGTGTGGGCACGCTGCAACCAGAGTGTGGGCACGCTGCAACCAGAGTGTGGGCACGCTGCAGCCAGTGTTTGGGTATGCTGCAGCCAGTGTTTGGGCACGCTGCAACCAATGTGTGGGCGTGCTGCAACCAGAGTGTGGGCACTCTGCAACCAGAGTGTGGGCACTCTGCAACCAGAGTGTGGGCACTCTGCAACCAGAGTGTGGGCACTCTACAACCAGAGTGTGGGCACTCTACAACCAGAGTGTGGGCACTCTACAACCAGAGTGTGGACACTCTACAACCAGAGTGTGGGCACTCTACAACCAGAGCGTGGGCACTCTACAACCAGAGCGTGGGCACTCTACAACCAGAGTGTGGGCACTCTACAACCAGAGTGTGGGCACTCTACAACCAGAGTGTGGGCACTCTACAACCAGAGTGTGGGCACTCTGCAACCAGAGTGTGGGCACTCTGCAACCTGAGTGTGGGCACTCTGCAACCTGAGTGTGGGCACTATACAACCAGAGTGTGGGCACTCTACAACCAGAGTGTGGGCACTCTACAACCAGAGTGTGGGCACTCTGCAACCTGAGTGTGGGCACTCTGCAACCTGAGTGTGGGCACTCTGCAACCTGAGTGTGGGCACTCTACAACCAGAGTGAGGGCACTCAGCAACCAGAGTGTGGGCAGTCTGCAACCAGTGTGGGCACTCTGGAACCAGAGTGTGGGCGCTCTGCAACCAGAGTGTGGGCGCTCTGCAACCAGAGTATGGGCACTCTGCAACCAGAGTGTGGGCATTCTGGAGCCAGAGTGTGGGCACTCTGGAACCAGAGTGTGGGCACTCTGGAACCAGAGTGTGGGCACTCTGGAACCAGAGTGTGGGCACTCTGGAACCAGAGTGTGGGCACTCTGGAACCACAGTGTGGGTACTCTGCAACCAGAGTGTGGGCACTCTGCAACCAGAGTGTGGGCACTCTGCAACCAGAGTGTGGGCACTCTGCAACCAGAGTGTGGGCACTCTGGAACCAGAGTGTGGGCACTCTGGAACCAGAGTGTGGGCACTCTGCAACCAGAGTGTGAGCACTCTGGAACCAGAGTGTGGGCACTCTGCAACCAGAGTGTGGGCGCTCTGCAACCAGAGTGTGGGCACTCTGCAACCAGAGTGTGGGCACTCTGCAACCAGAGTGTGGGCACTCTGGAACCAGAGTGTGGGCACTCTGCAACCAGAGTGTGGGCACTCTGCAACCAGAGTGTGGGCACTCTGCAACCAGAGTGTGGGCACTCTGCAACCAGAGTGTGGGCACTCTGCAACCAGAGTGGATCACCGTGGGGCACTCTCCAACCAGAGTGTGGGCACTCTCCAACCAGAGTGTGGGCACTCTGCAACCAGAGTGTGGGCACTCTGCAACCAGAGTGTGGGCACTCTGCAACCAGATGTGTGGGCACTCTGCAACCAGAGTGTGGGCACTCTGCAACCAGAGTGTGGGCACTCTGCAACCAGAGTGTGGGCACTCTGCAACCAGAGTGTGGGCACTCTGCAACCAGAGTGTGGGCACTCTGCAACCAGAGTGTGGGCACTCTGCAACCAGAGTGTGGGCACTCTGCAACCAGAGTGTGGGCACTCTGCAACCAGAGTGTGGGCACTCTGCAACCAGAGTGTGGGCACTCTGCAACCAGTGTGGGCACTCTGCAACCAGAGTGTGGGCACTCTGCAACCAGAGTGTGGGCACTCTGCAACCAGAGTGTGGGCACTGCAACCAGAGTGTGGGCACTCTGCAACCAGAGTGTGGGCACTCTGCAACCAGAGTGTGGGCACTCTGCAACCAGAGTGTGGGCACTCTGCAACCAGAGTGTGGGCACTCTGCAACCAGAGTGTGGGCACTCTGCAACCAGAGTGTGGGCACTCTGCAACCAGAGTGTGGGCACTCTGCAACCAGAGTGTGGGCACTCTGCAACCAGAGTGTGGGCACTCTGCAACCAGAGTGTGGGCACTCTGCAACCAGAGTGTGGGCACTCTGCAACCAGAGTGTGGGCACTCTGCAACCAGAGTGTGGGCACTCTGCAACCAGAGTGTGGGCACTCTGCAACCAGAGTGTGGGCACTCTGCAACCAGAGTGTGGGCACTCTGCAACCAGAGTGTGGGCACTCTGCAACCAGAGTTGGGGCACTCTGCAACCAGAGTGTGGGCTCTCTGCAAACCAGAGTGTGGGCACTCTGCAACCAGAGTGTGGGCATGATGCAACCAGGATGTGGGCACTCTGCAACCAGGATGTGGGCACTCTACAACCCAAGTGTGGGCACTCTGCAAACCAGAGTGTGGGCACTCTGCAACCAGAGTGTGGGCACTCTGCAACCAGAGTGTGGGGTGCTCTGCAACCAGAGTGTGGGCACTCTGCAACCAGAGTGTGGGCACTCTGCAACCAGAGTGTGGGCACTCTGCAACCAGAGTGTGGGCACGCTGCAACCAGAGTGTGGGCACGCTGCAACCAGAGTGTGGGCACGCTGCAGCCAGAGTGGGCATGCTGCAGCCAGTGTTTTGGGCACGCTGCAACCAATGTGTGGGCGTGCTGCAACCAGAGTGTGGGCACTCTGCAACCAGAGTGTGGGCCCTCTGCAACCAGAGTGTGGGCACTCTGCAACCAGAGTGTGGGCACTCTACAACCAGAGTGTGGGCACTCTACAACCAGAGTGTGAGCACTCTACAACCAGAGTGTGGGCACTCTACAAGCAGAGGTGTGGGCACTCTACAACCAGAGTGTGGGCACTCTACAACCAGAGCGTGGGCACTCTACAACCAGAGCGTGGGCACTCTACAACCAGAGTGTGGGCACTCTACAGAGTGTGGGCACTCTACAACCAGAGTGTGGGGCACTCTACAACAAGTGTGGGCACTCTACAAGCAGAGTGTGGGCACTCTACAAGCAGAGTGTGGGCACTCTACAACCAGTGTGGGCACTCTGCAACCTGAGTGTGGGCACTCTGCAACCTGAGTGTGGGCACCTGCAACCTGAGTGTGTGCACTCTACAACCAGAGTGTGGGCACTCAGCAAGCAGAGTGTGGGCACTCTGCAACCAGAGTGTGGGCACTCTGCAACCAGAGTGTGGGCACTCTGGAACCAAAGTGTGGGCGCTCTGCAACCAGAGTGTGGGCGCTCTGCAACCAGAGTTGTGGGCACTCTGCAACCAGAGTGTGGGCACTCTGGAGCCAGAGTGTGGGCACTCTGGAACCAGAGTGTGGGCACTCTGGAAGGAGAGTGTGGGCACTCTGGAACGAGAGTGTGGGCACTCTGGAACCAGAGTGTGGGCACCCTGCAACCAGAGTGTGGGCACTCTGCAACCAGAGTGTGGGCACTCTGCAACCAGAGTGTGGGCACTCTGCAACCAGAGTGTGGGCACTCTGCAACCAGAGTGTGTGGGCACTCTGCAACCAGAGTGTGGGCACTCTGCAACCAGAGTGTGGGCACTCTGCAACCAGAGTGTGGGCACTCTGCAACCAGAGTGTGGGCACTCTGCAACCAGAGTGTGGGCACTCTGCAACCAGAGTGTGGGCACTCTGCAACCAGAGTGTGGGCTCTCTGCAACCAGAGTGTGGGCACTCTGCAACCAGAGTGTGGGCATGATGCAACCAGGATGTGGGCACTCTGCAACCAGGATGTGGGCACTCTACAACCCAAGTGTGGGCACTCTGCAACCAGAGTGTGGGCACTCTGCAACCAGAGTGTGGGCACTCTGCAACCAGAGTGTGGGTGCTCTGCAACCAGAGTGTGGGCACTCTGCAACCAGAGTGTGGGCACTCTGCAACCAGAGTGTG